TTTGAGGGCAGGAAACATGCAACATGAGAGAAAGATGTAGGCTGGGAGGCTAGGCCAGTTTCACCTTTTCACGTTTCTTTGTCTGCTTTATATTTGCTGGCAGCTGATTAAATTGTGCCCACCAGATTAAGGATGGGTCTGCCTTCCCCAGCCCACTAACTCAAATGTTAATCTCCTTTGGCAACACCCTCACAGACACACCCAGGATCAATACTTTGCATTCTTCAACAAGTTGACACTCAGTATTAACCATCACAATTAGACAGAATTGGCTCACATGATTGGAAAGCAGAGTCCCATGATAGGCCATCTGCAAGCTGGGGAAGGAGAGAAGTCCTGGTAGCATGGCTCAGTCCAAGTTTAAAAGCCTCAAAACCAGGGACACTGACAGTGCTCCCCTCAGTCTGAGGCCAAAGGTCTGAGAGCCCCTGGGAGGCCACTGGTGCAAGTCCCAGAGTCCAAATGTGGAAAAACCTGGAGTCTGGTGTCCAAGGGCAGGAGAAGAGGAAGTCAAGCATTCTGCACAGCACAGGAAAAAAGAGAGGGAGCAGACTCAGCAAGCACGCTGCTTATCACCCTTCGTCCACCTGCTGTGTTCTAGCCTCGCCGGCAGCCAACTGAATGGTGCCCACCCACACTGAGGTAGGTGTTCCTCTCGCAGTCCACTGACTCAATTATCAATCTCCTCCAGCAACATCCTCACAGACACACCTGGGAACAGTGCTTCATTGGCCATCCAGGTGTCCCTCAATCTAGTTAAGTTGACACCTAATATTAACCATCACATAAGAATTCCTTATATTTTCAACATATAAGTACATTATCAGAAACATAATTTGCAAAATTTTTCGCCCATTCTGTGAATTTTAATTATCTTGATGGTATCTGATAAGGTTTGGATCTGTGTCCCCACCCAAATGTCATCTCAAATTGTAATCCCCACGTGTTGAGGAGGGGACCTGGTGGGATGTGATTGGATCATGGGGATGGTTTCCTCCATGCTGTTCTGGTGATAGTGAGTTCTCATGAGAGCTGATGGTTTTTTAAGTATGACACTCCTACCCCGCTTCTCCTGCCACCTTGTAAAGAAACTGCTTGCTTCTCCTTTACCTTTTGCCATGATTGTGGTTTCCTGAGGCCTGCCCAGCCATGCAGAACTGTAAGTCCACTAAACCTATTTTCTTTATAAATTACTCAGTAGCTCTTTATAGTAGTGTGAAAATGGACAAATAAGTGTCCTTTAAGGTGCAGGTTTTAAATTCTGATGATGACCAGTGTATCTTTTTTTGTTGTTGCTGCTGCTTGTGTTTTTGGTGTTATATCCAAGAAACCATTGCCTATCCAAAGTCATGATGATTTACTACAAATTTTTCTTCTAATAATTTAAAAGTTTTGGCTCTTACACTTATATCTTTGATTCACTTTTAGTTAATTTTTGTATATGGTATGACGTAGGGATCCCACTTTATTTTTTTGGCATGTGACAATTCAATTGCTCAGCTCCATTTATTGAAGAGATTATTCTTTCCCCATAGAATTGTCTTGGTACCCTTGTGAAAAATTAGTTGACTATAAATGTGAGGGTTTATTTATGGATTTTCAGTTATATTCAATTGATTCATACTGATTCATGTATCTTTTTTTTTTTTTTTTTTTGAGATGGAGTCTCACTGTCACCCAGGCTGGAGTGCAATGGTGCACTCCGCCTCCTGAGCTCAAGCAATTCTTACACTTCAGCCTCCTGAGTAGCTGGGATTACAGGTGCCCACCACCACCACGCCCAGCTAATTTTTTGTATTTTTAGTTGAGATGGGGTTTCACTACATTGGCCAGACTGGTCTCAAACTCCTGACCTCAGGTAATCCACCTACCTTGGTCTCCCAAAGTGCTGGGATTACAGGCATGAGCCACCGCACCCGGCCCATGCATCTATCCTAATGCCAGCACCCTTATTGTCTTTATTATTGTAACTTTGTAGAAAGTTTTGAAATTAAGAAGTGTGAGTCCTTCAACTTTATTCTTCTTTTTTAAGTTCGTTTTGGCTATTATAGGTCCTTACAGTTCCTTGTAAATTTTAGGATCTGCTTGTCAGTTTCTGCAAAGAAGTAAACTGGGATTTTGTTGAGGGGTGTCTTAAACCTACAGATTTTGGAACTATTGCCATTTAACAGTATTAAATCTTGTGATTCATGAACACAGATGTCATTCCATTTATTTAGGAAAGACAGGCTGGAGTGCAGTGGTGGAGTCATAGCTCACTGCAGCCCCTACCTCCTGGGCTCAAGCAGTCCTTGCACCTCAACCCCACTTGTAGCTGGGACTGCAGGCCTACACCATCTCACCTGGCTAATTTTTATATTTTTTGCATGTGGGGGTTCACCATGTTGCCCAGGCTCATCTTGCACTCCTGGACTCAGGTGATCTTCCCACCTCAATCTCCTAAAGTGCTGGGATTACAGGTGTGAGCCACCATGCTTGGTTCTTCTTTAATTCTTTGTAGTTTTCAGAGTATAAGTTTTTATATTTCTTTTATTAAATTTACAATGCTTTTTGTTAAATTTATTTCAAAGTATTTTATTCTTTTTGATGCTATTGTAAACAGAATTATTTTCTTAATTTATTTTGGTTTGTTACTGATACTACATAGAAATGCAGTTGATTTTTTTTTTTTTTTTT